GATGCAGTAGCCTCTATTAAGAATAATGAGAACACTTGCTTTTTAAATACAAGTTTTTGGAAAAAAAGTATTAGGTTACAGAAGCTCAAAGAGAAAGTTTGGGAGAAAAATGGGGCATTATTGAATATAAATAGAGAGATACTGAAATACAGTTTCATGAGCTGATTATAGCATAAAATTATTACATTGAAGGAATAATTAATTCCCCTCTGTTGGTTTGCCTTTTTTTTTTTTTGACTTTTTTTTTTTTTTCTTCTGGACCTACATTCCCACACAGTAAAAGTTTCGATACTGGTATCTTCAGCATTCCTCCTGCTTTTGTAAATGACTCATGGCTACTCTTTACAAACACATTTTCTCCCTGTGTCTCAGCGTTCCTCATGTCTTTTACTTGTCCAAAGATTTTCTGAGCATATTCCAATAGCTCATAGCAATGCTTTTATGTCTTTAGTGTTATAATATCAAATGTCACAGTGTGAAAAGGGAAATAAAGCTTCTGCTAAGAATTGCTGTCTGCAGCTTCTATTCTTATCAGTATTTCTGGAAGAGACACCCCTGTTTCAGCCTGTCCCACAGACTGGAGCCAGTTTCTAGAGCCAGCTTCGCACTTGATATCTGTGAGGTTCTAAAGTTGTAACTGTTGATGACAATAACTTCATTTGGCATAAGATGCCAGGGCATACGGGCCAGTACTTCCAGTGGCCTCCTCTTTGTCATGGTTCTCACTCCTCCTCTTCTGTTACCTTGAGTGTCGCTGCCGCTTCCGCGCAAGAAATGGCCAAAATGGTCTCGAGAATCTTGGCTAAGTCCAGTCGATTGCCTGGCTTGTACAGCCATCGAGTAAGTCCCTGTACCATTAAAATTGTACTATGACTCCACATCTCATTCAGGTAACCTCCAAACCTCATCTGTGAGATGAAAAAAACCAAGGTATCTTGGCCCACTTATCCTCGAGCTGTGTGTAAAGATCTAACAGTCTGAAGCATCTAAAACCAGAGAGCCAGTTATGCAGTGTAAGTTTTAGCAGTTGAGCTGCTATCTCAAGATCAAATGGCATCATATTTTTAGTGAGTCCGTTGCTCTTGATAGGCACAGTGTGTTAGAAGTATTTTCTCATCTTTTGGCTGAGATAATAAAATTAACAAATTATTAGAAAAAAGGAACTATTTTTAAATAAATGTTCCTCAGTGCATGAGAAGAGAAAAGGGACTCAGGCCGGATAAATCCCGTTGTATTATTATAGCACAGGGCAATGTGTTTGGGGAGTGAAGATTTGACATATATTTTTATTTTCAAACGTCACACTAATTTACATTACTCAGCCCTTTAACTGCCAAACTGTAAAAGTCCATTACGCTACTGAAAGGAATATACAAATTATCCCCTGGCACTTCAGGCAGGAGTTTTACATATACACTGTTATTCTATCAGCCAGCTAGCTGCACGATTCTATTAAGGAGTAAGTGAGAAAATTATATTGCCTGCAAACTAATTGTACAAAAGACTCTGAAATAAGTAATCAGAGCCCAGTTCTTTCTGAAAACCAGCCAGGAGATATTATAAATTGCTCGATCGTTCTTGTCAGCCCAGTTTAAAGACTCAGAGCTGCCATGTTGATTTTGTTCACTGTGTAACACAGCTGCCTCTCCAACTGTTGACAGGACTGGGCAAACTCAACCCATACTCTTACTAGCTGCCCAGTTTCAGCCTCTAGCATCATGAGGTAGACAAGTAAATGGTAGAGCTTCCTTCTGAATCTTTCTCATTGAAATAAAATGCAGATCTGAGCATCCTGAATGGATGTAGTATACCTGTGAAATTGTACAGATTCCCAAACACTTCTTATAATAATTTCTGTTTATTTATTTTTATTGTATAGAAGTAAATAAGAAATCATGAGAGCTCTAATGGCCTACAATGTGCAGTAAACCTAGGTTTTTACCAAAAATATATCCACTGATACTTTGAGTGCTAGGTAAAACACATTTTGAGTGCTAGGTAAAACCTATCCATTGCAAAATTCCATGAGGTGGTGGGTTTTTTTGGGTTTTTTGGTTTTTTTTAAGGAAAACTCACTGACAGAAATGAAGTCTATCCGTGGGGATATTTGATAAAATACTGCATTCATATGTGGAGTGATAACAAAATGTTCATTTCCTTGCACTCTTACTGCGGCCTAGCCATATTCTAAAATGCTGTAACACTTTAGGGGAACCAGCTATGGCTATTGGTAAGATGTGGATCTTTGCTGCAGCAATAAATCCAGTTACTGTAACTCTACTGAGTTCATTGGAGGAACTCTTTCCTCCATCTTCCAAGTTTATTTTCTAACATCAAAAATTAAGATTGAACATCTGCTGTAAAATATAATTCATTAAAGTAAAGCAGCCTAAATTGATAAGAGAAGATTCCCCCTCTGAGCTAAAGTACTGGAATCTAAGTGACTAGAATAATAGCTCATTTTAGACTTCTTTAGGTGGCAAGAATTTGCACGAAAAATAAGTGATGTTTTTGGTGCATAATGTGCTGCATACTACAGACCCTTGCCATGTTTCACAGGATTTTGTGCAAAACTGAAATGTCTGGGTATGGATTAGAAGTGTCTACTTAGGGAAATAAGCAATCTTGCTTATATTTTTCTGGTTTTGAATACTACTTTTTGGTGTCGACATCTGTACCTTTGTCACCTGTGCCTTTGCACAAGGGCTCTGGCTATAGTGGGAGTGCTCCACTTGCCTCAGTACAGACCTTTGCTGCTTGAAGTTCTGTGTTGTAATCTCGATCTTGTTTTTGATCAAGATCATTTTTGACCTTGTGCAAAGGTATCTTTGGTGTTGTGCAAAGCATTTCTGATTCCCTGTTTCTTATTTTTAAATAGGGATGGTAATACATTTACTACTATAATATGATGAAGTTAATTAGATACAATTTGTGAAAGGCTTTGAAGGTCTCCCTGTGTAGTGGTTGTGCCTCACTAAGAATGCCTCGTCAGAGTGTGAGAGGATAATGTGAATCTTTTTTTAAACTTGCTCTTACCATCCTTTCCTACGTATCCTTCCAGAATTGTTATTTCCTAACTTCGCTAATATGTATCGGAAGGAAGTTTTGCAGGAACTGTTGTGCTGAATTTCCTACCCACCGTATCCTTCGGTTTCTTAAATAGCTTTCTTCTCAGGAGCCTAAGGAAGGGGAAGAGGACTAAACTGAAGTTTGAGTTTTGTCAACAAGAACCGTTAGCATTCAGACATATCAAAATCTGTTTTACTCGCCAGCATTGCTAAGTCAGTCATGCAGCAATGTTCAGGAGGAAGAAAGCCCGCAAATGCCTGAAAAGGTTGTGCGAAGTATGCTGGTTGTATTGGCAGAATATACTTTGCACCATGCAGACCTCCTTTATCATAAATACTTAACCAATTTTCAATAGATGTAAGTGGTTTAAGAATTACTTCCTGTTGAATTAGCAGTTGCTGAGCATTTGAGTCTGTGTGCAATCCTGCAATCCACTAATGTGATATTTAATGAGGAGACATCAGTCTGGAGAAAGGTAGTCAATATAAATCAGTGTTTACAAAGTGTGATTAACTCTGAAATATTTCATCAATGCTCTGGTCCCAGGCAGACTCTATGCTAATTATTAGAACCTGTGCATGTTTCAGGGGACTTTGACGGACCCTGAGTGCAGCAAACATGGAGCAGCAAAATTGCAATTATGCTCGGACTGTCTCTGATGACAATTTATGCATTTGGTGTGATGACCTCTTGCTTCCCAAGAGGGCAATAAACAGAATGCATTTTCATTAAGATACTAATGCACTTAATCACAGGGGGAAAGGGTTAGAAAGTAAAGAAATACCTTTAAAGCAAGATGTGACAGGCTGATGGGGAAGATACTTTATTTGAAAGTCAGTTTCCTGGTGAAACTTCTGACTGCTGCAAAGTCTGTCATTCTGAATGTAGTCATGGGCAATAGGATGCATGGCTAGGCAGATGAATAAGCTGAGCTAAGCTGTTTTATGAAAAGTGCAGTGGTACTAGGGCAAAAGAGAACAGATGTTCTCCCATTTGGACTTGGATACCCAAAGATGTGATTTTAAAAAATGTAAAGAAAACTACTGATATGTATTTTACCCATTAATTTTCATGCTGCTTTTTTTCTTATTTTTGAGGATAAATAATAAGTACTAAGCAGTAACAAAAAAAAAATGGAGACGCTGCTTTGCCCAGGAGGGCTCACATTTAAGGATCTAGCTTGTTCTAGGCCTTATGGAGAGTTGGGAGGGGCAGAGGCAAGCATCTCCCCCAGTTTTTGTTATTCTGACAGCTTGGTAGGAATGATCCTGTTTCTGATGCCTCTCAGTACAAGCACTCTGTCTGAAGCATAGAGAGAAGGGGAGATGTCCTGGCTGAGAGGCCTGATCCAACAGCTGTAGAATGTGCTAGATGTAGTGGTAGCAGTGCCAGTGAGCCCTGCCTGACACACTGTGCCTGCTGTTGTGGAAGGAGAAGGGTGAAGCTCTGTAGTACCTGTTACAGTTGATTGTGCAATGAAGCATGACAGTCTCGTTTTCGTATTCTAGACAAAGAAAGACTGATGAAATTGGTGAAAAAAAGAAGTGAAAAGTGCTCAGGCTAGGAGCCTAAGCCTGTGGCTTGGTACAGACAATAAATGACAAAATTTCCTCCTCCTACCAGCAGGAGTAACCTACGTGAAGCATTTTGCTAGGGACCATGTATGGAGCCAGACACAGACTCACGTTAATTGTGGTTTTGTATATTTTTTTTTTTCATATAGCTGTCTAGATTTAGAAAAGTCAAAAAGCTCATCCTTTAACTTGGCTTTTCATTTTTACTTGAAAGGTATTTCCTTTCTATAGCACTGTTTACTCTTGATAGATTCCAAAATTAAACACAACAGCAATTGTATGTGTACTTCGTATATCCATTGTGTTGGTTAGTCAGTGATTCTGAATACCTGTCATTTCCTGTACTTTCTATTACAGGTAACATAGAATACAGCTGCCCAGCAACGAATGAATGTGAAATCACAAAGCGCAGACGCAAGTCCTGCCAAGCCTGCCGCTTCATGAAGTGTCTAAAAGTTGGCATGCTGAAAGAAGGTAAGACTGATCAAGTCAGTATGTATCTCTCTGCAAATGCATGCAACAATTGTAGGGCAATCAGGAAAGAAGAGAGATTGGTGAGTGTTCTAATCAGTTATTGTAAAGGCAATTTTCACATATACTTGCCGTTCCTGACAGTCTGTTTCTAAGCTATGGAATCACGGTGTATCTACATAGAGTTCATCTTCTCTGTCTAACTACGTGTAGTACAGCAAAATGTACCCCAGCGTTCAGTCTCCTTCAGTAGGTAACTAATAGAATAATTATCAGAATATATTCTCTCATTTTCCTTAATGCTTTAACATAATGAATTCTCAAAGGTTTCTTTCCTCTGTTCCTTATCCACTGTTAGTCTGTCCAAGTTCTATCAGAAACACACACTGTGCCTTCTTTTCCCTATTTTTACCCGGTCTTCATTTCATCAGGACAAACAAAAGGGTTACTTCCCAATTAAACAAGTATAAATGTTGAGTATGTCTGCTGAAGTTGCTGTAACTACACTGGAGCAAATAATGGCATACAGAAGAGGAGAATCCACCCCCCCTTTTTTTTTTTTTTTTGAAAGCGTGTGAGAACCCCTGCCCCTCACTGTAAGTATATGTTGAGTGTTTTAATTCATCAGTTACATTTTGAAGGTATTGAATAACAGGTAAATATAAGAAAATGTTTCCAAGAAACAGTACTACCTTACCTGGAATCTGATTCATCTATGTTACAGAAAGAGGCCATTCCTTAAATCTTGGTCACCTGCTATGCAATTCTATTGCAGTTAATGTATATGCAAAAATACACTTTTATGTGCATGTATTGTATACATTATTATTGTAGTGCACTGTTAACCACCAAGAAAGAATAACAGATGATGTCATGGACTTCTGAGCTAGATAACCTTTTAAAATAAAAGCAACATAATGTTTTCTAAATATTGTCTCCAGTGGAGGGTACTTTGTGTTAAGCAACCACTTTAAAATAGTCCCATGCAATTTTGCTTTGTCAGTGCTTAAAAAGTCAGCTTTAATAGACAGCGGATTTTTGCAAATCATTTGATGGTAATTTAAAACAGGTTTAAGTATACAGCTATCAGGGTAAAATCCAAGAACAACATAGACCGGTGGAGAGGTTATGGGCAAATTAGCCCTATCACGCACCTACAGACATATTCTTATTGGATTATACTTACTAAGAATAAACCTTGTTCTGTGCAACTGCTTTGGCAGATGCTATGATCCTGTGAGCCAAATCCTGCTGTCCTTAGTCTTACTTGAGCAAAACTCCTGTCAGATTCAATGGGGATTTTGCCTCAGTAAGAACGGCAGGATTTGACCCTCTCTTCCAGTGGTGATGGGAGGGTTCTTTACTTGCCAAAAATCCTCATATAACTGACCACTAGGAGCAGTTGCTTAAAGGTTAAGTTGTGATGCTTAGATAAACTGTAGAAAGAAAGGAGTGTCTGAGTATGGCACTTTTTGAAAGGGACTGTGCTTCTTAACATCTTTTTTTAGTAAGTTAAGACCCCATATCACTAGTAACCTAATATACAGATATATTAGAAACAGTGCTACCAAGAGTACATACAGGTGAATTGGTTTAGACCTTTTCTTTTAAATTTTGGGGGCACCATTGCACATCCATTAACATATATATTTAAAAATCTAGTCTGTGTGCAGCTTCTGGGACTGCATGAGGAAATGAAGCGACTCTTCTACAAATGAGTAATTATCTCAGTTACCAAAATTGTGCGCAGATTTACTATGTTTCTGCACACGATTTTGGTAACTGAGATAATTTAGTTAGACAATTCAGATGCACATGGTGAATCAGATTTTTTGCATGAATGATCGTTGTCTATGGATGCAAATCAATCCCACAAGTTTTCTTAGTCAGAATTTCATAAATTATCTACCCTAAAAGTACATACCTTTTTCTGAAAGTTCTACAATGACAAAATAACTAATTCCTTTGAAAAGAAGGTTCCTTTGTTAGCCCCACTCCTGGGCACATCATAGTTCTTCCAGTCCATTGTGTGAGTTTTTCTGTCAAAACACAGTAAGATTTCTACTTACTTTTAATTACTGAGTCTTTTCATCTAGGGGAGAGTTAGCTATCTTCTTTTCAATACCTACCACCTAATAGGACAACCTAAAAGAACCTACAAGGGCGTTTTGTTTTCTTTCCCCCTTCAGTGGCCACTTTTACTTTTGAAACCATACTGATTCATAGTACACTTTTAGGACTGTGCTTGGAATAGAGATGGTTTTTTTCTTTTGTTCATGTTGGAAGGTAGGTTTGGAGACAGGTGGTGTTGTTATTACCTATGGGAAAGTCTGGAGATGAGTTTTTGGCTTTGGATTTCACCACATCCTTTATGCACAGAATGAAGAAAGATTATATACTTACTTCTTTCATGTGTAAAGTGGTGTAAATTTATTGATTAGCGTGGACTT